GTTCGGTGTGGGATGTTCCAGGCTTGCTTGGACTTCCGGCTTGCAGGACGTTGAAGAAAATAGGCTCCTATTCGCTCAGAAGTGAAAGAAAAGTTTCCGTTCCCTGGCTTTTATTCATTTTCCTTGTCGTCCTCGCCAAGAGACTGCCATTAAAATATGAGAGCATAGGAGGACCCTGAGTAACCAAAAACACAAATAATGGAAGATGCTGCAAACTCCACCTGGAATGTGAACTCCTTTTTGCGTAGTGGTTGCATGAGGCATCTCTTCCCTTCGAAGAAACATTCTCTCATCTCCTTCATGGGTAATATTTTTTAACTTTAAAAAGTTATTACTGGAGCTGGAGAGATGGCTCCTCGGTTAGGAGCCCTTGCTGCTCTTGCAGAGGAACTGGGTTCCTTTCCCAGTACCCAGATGGCAGCTCGCAACAGTCTGTCACTCCAGTTCTGGCTTCCATCAGGACCAGACATACACGTGGTGCATGTACAGACGTGCAGGCAAACGCTCATACACATCAAGTAAAATAAATCTTTGAAAATTATTAATGTTGTAGGTTGGCACACAAAGTGACGGGCTTCATCATGGCATCTTCTCACACCTATGGCATTACAGTTTGTTGTCACGTAGTCTCTCTCTCCCGTACCTCCCACAAGTTCAGTTTCCTTTTCAGCAGTCCCTTCCTGCTTTTTGCTAACCTGCATTCTATTACTTGATTCCCACCTATCTTTCTTAGGCACTCATCCTTCTCGGGCTCCCCTTTGTAGTTTCATGACCTACAAACACACATATTCAAGCATACACTTATATAAACACACAAATGTATAGTTTTAAATCTAGAGTCCACATGTAAGTGAAAACATCATTTAGTGTCCTGTTCCTGGTAAAGTTTGCCTTAGTTTATTTGTATGAACACATCCTTCTTATAATAAATCTTTATTGTTTTATTGTACATATTTACTGGTGTGAGTGTGTGCTACAGTATGTATGTGTGCCACAGTGTGTGCATATATATATATATATATATATATATATATATATATATATATTATGAATGTATAAAAATCCAATTGTGTATATTTATCATATTTTCTTTTGTCTAATGTAGTTTTTATATTTAAGTATTGTGTGGGTATGTGTATTTGAGTGTGAGTGCCCACTGTGGTCAAAACAGGGTGTCAGGTCACCTAGAGCTGAAGGTACAAGTGTTAGGAACTGCCTGACATGGGTAATGGGAACCAAACTCAGGTCCCCTGAAAGAGCAGCAAATGCTCTTAACTACTGAGCCCTTGTAACAGCATGTTGTATCAGCTGAAGGACATCTAGGCTTCCCATTTCCTAGCTATTTTGAGTAGTGGAGCAATGAACAAGTGAGCATCTCTGTGAGACGTTGACTCATAGCCCCTGTGATATATTCCCAAGCACCATAGTGCTGGGTGATTCTATATAGTTCTATCTTCAGTCTGCTGAGGAACTTCCATACTGGCAACATAAAATCATATTCTCACCAGCGGTGAACAAATTCTCCTTTTTCCTCACATCTTTGCCAGAATTTGCTGCCATGTGCTTTGTGTATTGATAGTGTGAGATGGACTCTCAAAGCAGTTATAATTCGTATTTCATCAAAGCAGTCATATTTTGTATTTCCCTGGTAGGTAAAAAATGTTCAAATACCTTTTTAAGCCATTTTCATTTTTGTTTTGAAAGCTCAATTTATTAGCCTATTTATTGATTATAACACTAGCTTTTATGGGGTTTAAAATTTGCAGTTCCTCGGGCTGCAAAGATGGCTCAGCTGTTAAAGGCTAGGCTCACAACCAAAACCAAAATTTGCAGTTCTTCATACAGGATGGATATTGTTGCCTTGTCGAATGTATAATTAGTAAATAATTTCCCCCATACTGTAGGCTACACTCTTTACTGTGGTGGCTGGGTTTTTGTTTTTTGTTGTATGGAGCTTTTTAATATCATCTGATCACAGTTTTTAATATTGGGATTACTTCCTGTGCTGTTGGGAGTCCTTTTCAGAAAGTCTTTGGTTATAATGATTTTGAAGTGTTTACCCTATGTTTTCCTCTTGCAGTTTCACAGTTTCAAGTTTCAAAGTCTTTGAAGAATTTTGAATTTAAAAAAATGTACAGTGTAGCTGGGCATTAGTGGCATACTCCTTTAATCTTAGTACTCGGGAGGTAGAGGCAGGCAGATCTCTGTGAGTTTGAGGCCAGCCTGGTTTCCAGAGTGAGTGCCAGGATAGGCTCCAAAGCTACACAGAGAAACCCAGGCTCGAAAAAAAAAAATACAGCGTGGAAGAATGTAATTTCATTCTTTGTGTGGAAATCCATATTTCTCAACACCATTGTTAAAGAGATTATCTTTTCTCCATAATAAGTTTCTGGTACTTTTGCCAAAAATTAGGTGGCTATAAATGTGTAGCTTCTATTGGGGTCTGGTATACTATTCCATTGGTCCATGTATCTGTTTTAGGGTTGTTTTTTTGTTTGTTTGGTTGCTTGGTTGGTTGACAGAGACAGAGTAGCATAAGATTTCTTGTAAGCAAGAACCTTAAGGAGGACAGCAGGGGAGGGATAATTTCAAGAACTGGAATTAAATGACTTCTGACCAAGATTGCTGTGGCTACCAAAGCTATCTTTCAAAAGAGATGGATAAATGGGACAATCTTTAGTATCTCTTAGGTATAATAAGATGGTGTCATCAGCAAGTAGGGATACTTGGACTTCATTCTTTTATATGTGTATCTCTTGCATTTCTTTTTCTAGTTGCTCTAAGAATTTTAGCACTATATTCAAGTCAATAAAGAGAAACCTTGTTTTGTTTCATAATTTTGGGCACATTTTCTCAGTTTTTTTCCCATTTGGCATAATATTGCCCAAAGATGTGTTAGGTTGAGACATGCTCATTTTATTCCTAGTATCTACAGGGCGTTTATCACAAAAGGGATGCTGAACTTTGTAGAAGGCTTTTTCTATGTCAACTGAGATGGTCTTGTGGTTTCTGCCCTTGGAGCCATTTATGTGTTGAATGACACATATTTACTCATGTATGTTGAACCAAGCTCTTCTTTTGACTCACTGAGTGGCTTGAATGGGCATGGGTAAGTTAATTCCTGTATCATGGACAACTTCACCCCTGCAGAAACTGACACCTCTCAGGGAGGGGTAAGACCTCATAAGCGCTCTCAACCCAATCCCTGATGCTTGACGGAACGCTGAAGGGCACAAATTGCCAGGTCCATGTCCAAGAGAAAGCTTTGCAGAGCACTCTTCCCCATGCTTTAAAGCTTTTCAGTTTTTGCCACTTCACTCTTCCCCGACATCCCGTGGGCCTTGATGGAGGTGATATAGATGTCGAGGTTAGGCCTAAGAACTAGATAATCAATCACTTATTCGCTCTACTTTGAGTCATTATGAGCCTCTGCATTGATAACTGCCTTGTTCATCACTTCCAATGGAATTTTATTATATGGAAGTAGTTTCATCAACTTCAGAATGCCAGCCACAGAAAGGCATGTAAGTAATATAGTCGGCATGTCCACCTGTAATTTCTTTCTGACTTCTGACTCTCTCTTCTCCATTTTCTGTTCCCCTGGTTTTTGCCACAGTTCTAGTGGCATCCATGAATACTGTAAATTCAACTGTCAGTCTGAGTTATTAAAGATGATATAATATAGATTAGGATAATCTCATCACTTTCCTTGAGAAATAACCAATATCCAAACTACAGTGGGCCATATGTTCTACTCAGAACTCTTCAGGGGAGCGCTGTGAGAGAAGAGCATACCCATCATTTATAGATGGAGACTTAAAGATGAAAATATATGTACCAGCCCACCCGATTTACATGATGCTCTGTGCTTTCTACACCAGCTCTGGCTAGTTCTGTGTTAACATGACACAAGCTAGAGTCATTGGAGACGAGGGACCCCCAACTGAGGAAATGCTTCCATAGGATTGGGCTGAAGGCAGGCTTGTTGGGCATTTTCTTAATCACTGATTGATGGGGAGGGTCCAGCCCAATGTGGGTGGAGCCACCTCTGTGTTGGTGGTCATAGGTTCTAAGAAGGCAGGCTGATCAAGCCATGGGAGCAAGCCAGCTGCTTTTCTCCATGGCCTCTGCATCTCCTGCCTCCAGGTTCCTGCCCTGTTTGACTTTCATCCCTACATCCTTCAGTGATGAACAGTGATGTGGAAACATAGGCCAAACACACACCTTGCCCCCCAAGTTGCTTTGGTTATGTATGGTGTTTCATCACAGCAATAGTAACCCTATTGTCTTGCTTTGTATTTTCAGATGCCACCCCTTACATACTGACATGTGGTCAATTTAGCTTCTTTGTTTGTTTACTCCCATCCTACCAGAATGTGTTCTCCAGCAGGTAAGAATCTTCATCTAATTTGTTTCCTGTGATGTCTTCCTTGCCTTGAACAGTGTCTGGAAAACAGTAGGTTCTTAACAATGCTTTAGTGTAATAGATAAAACTAATAGTATTATCAACAAATAATCAATTAACTACTAGTAAGTTCATAGTATTTGGTAAATTAATGAATAAGTCAATAAAGGAGAATGTATGAGTTACTTTGTACTGTTTCCCTACTTCTGACATCATTTTAGTTTATTATTACACTGTTTAGTGTTTAAAATCTTTTTGTTAAAAGCTCATTAGTGAATGGAGCCATCTTTTGTTCATATTTATTACCCAGTCCATATCATTAGCACAGTTGAGTGGATTTATTA